AAATTAATCTAAAATGTCCAGAATACCATAATTTGGTGTTATGCTAGGTAACAGAATGTTGGTCAGAATGTTATGGTGGATCGTGTATGTTAATAGACTGGTACATCTATCAGTTAGTTCCTTTGTAAGGGTTTCTTGCGGTGGTTCAGCTTATCAGGACCAAAGACGCAAGTTGGAGCTGGACCTTGTTTGGCTGAAATGAGGCGAGGAAGGTTGCAGGACGAAAGGGCTCAGTATGCTTTAGGAATACATTGCCTGGCCCTAAAAGAGAGGTTGCATCCTCACTTAATTTACAAAATGTCAATATTTCAGGAAAATTACTGCATTTTTGACAGAGGTTGTAGAATTTTCATAATCCAAAGATGTTAACCAGACACACCTTTTCATACAAACACCTTTTTACTCATGTGTCAGGGTGACACACCCAACAACAGAAATTTTTTATTCCTTTATTATTAATAAAAAAAAAAAATTTTAATATTCAAAACCCTTCTTGGTGCTTTTTGGGGCTATTTTTAAAAAAAAGTTTTACATCAGCATGCTAACATGGTTATGATCAAACTAGCATGTTAATGTTTAGCAGGCATAATGTTTACCATTTTCACCTTGTTGGTTTAGTTTTGTTACAATGCTAACATTTGCTAATAAACACTAAACACAAAGTACAGAGGGGCTGATGGGAATGCAATAAGCTTTGCCGGTATTTAGTCATAAATCCCAGTATTGGCCAGAATGACTAACAGATCAAAGATCAAAGTGACAGATCCAAGTTATTATTATTATTTACTATTCATCCTCTGGGGACCACGAACGTCTGCACCGAATGTATCAGCAATCTATCCAGTAGTTGTCAAGATATTTCAATAAAGAACTTAAAAGTCAACCTCATGGTGCCGCAAGATGAACAGTCAGAAGATCACTGATGTCAATACAAGAGTATACTCTGGGGACCATGAACGTCTGTACAACATTTCATAGCAATCCATCCAACCAACAGACAGACAGTACCATCCCTAGAGCCATGCTGCTAGCATGGTTAAAAATGATTCATATGTGTTGTCTGCCACCTCTGTAGTTAAGGTTCGGAAAGGTTAGTCATAAAGGGCACTTTCACACCCTTAGTTTGGTTCATTTGGTCCAGACCAAGAGAAAAAATTATAAACTGTTGCCTTTAGTTCTGGTCTGTTTCGTGTTCACACTGACTTTTTGCAAACAACTTGCTTCAAATTCATTTCTACCGTTTTATCTTTTGGCCTCAAAATGTTGTTGGGGCAATAGCACTCATTTCACAGATAAGACTTCCCAACAAAATGTCTTCCAGAGGGAGTGAATACCTGAGAAGTGCCCCCCTTCTCCTGCTTTCTGTGTGGTGGGTGTTCTAGTCTAGTGGTGGTGAGGTCCATCTGGAAATGCTCAGAGCGTCCTGTTTCATAGCTGCTGCCATCACCTCTTACAGTATTTCACTGTTTTATGGACACGACCAGGTCTGGAGCTCTCTGTCTCCCTTTGGAGCTTCTTTGGAGACATCAGCCAGCGTTTTATTTACAACCTCAGAGCCAGGCCTGTTCCCTACTGTGGGAGGTATGTGCATAGTGAACATGCAATGATTTAGGCATATCAGTTCACAGATTTCAAGAAAAGGAGGAATGTGTGTGTGGTTTCTGTGTCCATGCTAACTGGTGTCAGAGGGCCCACTGTGGCCACGGTGTAAATTTACTCAGGTTTTCTAAAGCTTTACATTTCATGTTAGACCTTTTTCATGACCCCAACGTTTGACTCCTACAAAGTTTGTTCATTTTTGTTACAACCTGACTAATAACATTTTTACTATGTGGTATTCAGTAGGTTTCAACAACAACAGGGAAGCAGTCTAAAAATCCTGACAAACATTATTATTATTAGACATTATGGTACCTAGACTGAGTGCTGACACACACCCTCCCTTTTTATTTTATATTTTGCTATTAAATGTCTATATTTATTGTATGTTTTGTGTACCTTTTCTGTATTTTTTTATTTCTTGTTTAAACTGTATTCTGAGATGTGCTATTTGGTGTTTTCATGCCTGTATTTTGACTTATTTATGCATTTGGAGTAATTTTTTGAGAGTCTAATCGTCTCATGTGTTCTTGTAATTTAACACCTTTCGTGTTTGGTTAATGTAGCCTGTAGTAATTGCATTAAGATGCTGCTTATTGTACTGTTTGTTACATCTTGTGCTGACAGTGTGTAGGAGTTCACTTTTTTGTTTGGAAAATTTGATTTCATTCTTATTCACAGCAGCCTCACTGGATTGCATTAGATTATCCACTCTTGTGCAACTATAGTAGAATTCTGGGTAAAATTATTTTTGAATGGTGTTGAATGACCACAGTGGAAGGTGTGTGGAGTGAAGGCCAGAAGGTAGGAAAACCATCTAGTAAAACCTTATAAACTGAGTAAATTATAAAATCAAATATTGTTCCGATTTACCCGTTTTAGAATGTCTGTCTAACATCCATCACATTCCAGAAATCCACCAATGACCAGTGATCCGTTGGGCCCCTGATGGCATGGCATTGTTTGTGTGTGTTAACATGAAAATCTACCTGTGTGCATACATTCACGTGGCTGTCTATACAATATACAGTGAACAGAAGGTACGTTGTGTGTGTATTTGTTTGCATGTTGTATGTGTGGTTATATGCGTGCGTCTCTCAGTCAGCGACTCTTCATTCTGTGTGTGTGTGACATGCTAGCAGCCCCACTTGGCCAGCTGACAGGCCACTGTCTGATTATAAAGGCACTTTACTGGTATTAATATTAATGCCACTCCATTTTATTCAGGATGTCTGCCTGCCACTCCGATGAGACTGCACTTTACTGCTTTAAATGGTGTGTGTGTTTGACAGGAGGTGTGTGTTTGAGTGTGGCTGCATATGTGTGTGTACATGCATACTGATTCATGTGTGTTTGCCTGCGTCTCTCCGGCATAAATGCAGTTGTCAGAAAGAAAGAATCCTTCTAATCCATTAGCACCAGGGTAGTTTTAAACTTGACCCAACCTTTTAAAAATTATCTTCATTTCTCCACTGCATGTTTTGCTTAGTCGTGTGTGTTTTTGCACTGAAACAGATTCATAAACTATTTCTGTGACAAAGGGTTTGTCCTCATACAAAGGCATGAAAAGTGCGTAGTGGATCAGAATTCTTTTTAGGTCAGATTGGAAGCAATGAGGAGTTTGAGAAACAGTCATTCAGGGTTCAAGGTCACACTGGAGGGGCACTTAGGTCTCTCCAAAGGGCTCTTGGGAGGGAAGGATCCCCAGTCTTTCCAACATTCACTTCCTTTTCTCTATGATCGACATTATTGGGCCTTTCAGACAGTTCCGTTTGATCCGAACCAGAATTACAGGCATGAAACCTCTCAGTTCGGATCAAATTGAACCATGGTTTGTTTCTAGTGTGAATTTTTGTTTTTGAATGGTTCTCACTTTTTGAATTACAGGAGGTTCTGGCAGGCTGTCATTAGAACAGGAAAAACAACGCAACGAATCAAAATGAGCAGTGGTAGCACATGAGGTGACGAGGAGAAAAAAGTTAATTGACATCTGGTTCGACGACTTTATAAACAGAAAATCATAAAAATTCCTCTACTTTCCATTTATTTTCTGAGAGGACGCATGCCTGTCTGCAAACTAGTCAATTCTAGTCAAAACTAGACGGATACAATTTGGAGGACAGAAGAAGGAAAAAGTTGCGCCTTGGTGTGGATGGAGGCCACAGAGAGGAAAAGAGGCATTTGCACATTTAACCTGCTAGTGTGGACATCATAGGATTCATTCAATGGTAGAATACTTTCAGCAAACAGACAAAGAGTTTATCTATCAGACAAAGAGCTACTGGTGGCTTCTTAAGCTGGTAGCCCACTCCACACAGACATAGACACACAGACACACACACACACACACACACACACACACACACACACACACACACACACACACACACACATGCCCCATGTGTATCTACCTTGTTTTTGTTGTTGGTTGCTGTGTAGGTCGTCCCCTCCTCTGTCTGCCATCTGGGAAGTCTCTCTCTCCATCCATTATGGCCATCATGGGACAGAAACCCTTCAACACTAGCATGACCCTGCAGTCCCCACACACATTAACTTGTAGACACACACTTGCACACACACCCGTACATAGCAGCAGACACACATGTACACTTAAATCCAAGCAAACACAAACTAATGGTAGTACACTTGAACTCGAACATGCACAGAGCAGCAAGTAATGCACACTCACACAAATAAAATACAGCCAGGCACACAACACACAAAGAGGAACACACACGTACATATATAGTATTTGTCTCTTTGCTGTCTTGATTGTTGGTGGTATATCTCTCTTATCCTGGCTTAAACATAGATGCTGTTTATGTAGCGTCCAGATTTTTCAATGCTGTTACACATACAGTAGGGATGCACATATCCATTGTGGCTGATCCATGAATCGAGTATCAGCCAGATGTGACCAATCCACATTAAATTGTTTCTATGTCAATGTCATTATAAAAGTGTTTCCATTTTTAGTTATTCATTAAGTCATTCAGTGCCATAGCGATCCCTGGCCTCATTTTACCTTACGTATAAATGAACCCCATGGGTTTTGTAATGTGGTATACATTTTTACATTTGGAAGAAGAGAGCGCCGGTATCAGATCAGTCATCAGCATCAGCAGGTATTCTGGGTTGAACCAATGGAATCAGTATTGGGAAAGAAAGACCTTGGATCAGCGCATCCATAATCACACACTGTGATAGCAGAAATGTTTTTTATCAGGTGTTGGTGCCAGCCCCTCAGTAAAAGTAACAAGAGTTTGCACCATCATCCATCAGTTACACAAGGACAATTCCATCAAAGAGGATAAAGAAAGATCACTGTCACATGCTTCAGTAAACCTGCCACAAGACCTGATGTGAAAAACTAAGTAACCTTTTAAAGAAGAAAAAACACATTCTTCCTCTTGCAAATGAAAAGTTTAATTCATTAAAAAGACATACCAATGCCCAATTTAATGCTCTCAGGGATTTCTAAAACTTTCAAAATAAAGCTTGCATGGTTAACAGTGTGAAATGGTTTGAGTTTGGGTTAGGTTTAGGCACAAAAACTACTTGGTTAGGAAAAGGTTGTAAGTGACATTACATAGCTGACATAACATACGCTGCTTCAAAGAAATTGTTTTTGGGACATGTACAGCATTCTCCTGGGTTAGAGTCCTGTGTTTGTTTGAGCCATCCATCCACCCCACCACCTACACATGCTCTTTATACTATGTCACTTGACATCGTCAGTGGGCCACTGACAGACAAATTGCATTTGACTTGGGGTTGGACCAGGAGCTTATGTTGACTAATGTTAGCAAACTTTATGTAGATATTTCTGTGTGGCTGGCAGTGAATTTGCTGACTTGTTATACTATGTTTAAACTTCTACTACCATGTTGTAATTGCCATTTGTTGCCACAGTGCAATAAACCACACCTCAAAACTGTAAAGATTGTTCTCTACATTTCTCATCTGCTGATCTTTCATCTCAATTTTGGACCTGATTTGTGAGTGATTTTAGTTATAAACAGTCACAACAACATAAATTCATGAATTTTTAGCTCTACAGTGTTTGTTGAAAGGAATTTAGAAAATCAACAGTTAAAAAAAGAACTAGACAAAGTAGCTCAAGGTAGAATGCACAAAAATAGTAAATTAATAAGACTTGATCATAAAATAACTTTTACAAAGCACAGATCAGGTCAGAACAGAACAGACAGATGACATCTGTACTAGTACTAACTCTATACGAACCTGTTGCAACCAAATGTCCTCACTTTGAAGGACTTCCCTCATCTTTTCCCATCTGTCTGTCCTTGTAAACACAATCACCTTCTGATGACCACCTCTTCACTCTGTTCCTTCCCTATCAGCGGTAGCGAGCTAGAGACAGAGAGAAAGAGAAAGCAAAGCGGGGATGATGACGATGCTGGGGCTGGAGCTCAGTGCAAATCTCCGGGTTATCAAACTCATTAATCTACATGCCATAGTCCCCGGATGAATAATTGTGCGTTGAATTTATCTGCCAGTGTGATAGCTACAGCTCAGCTCTCCCTGCGCCACAACCGACACCACATTGTGTCTCTGCCTTGTAATTATTACACGCTTTGTCTTTGCTTGGGGTGGAGGCGGGTGGAAGGTGGGTGGTTGGGGCTGAAAACAGAAACACTTGCACCTTTCTTTTGTAGCTTTTCATGAGGAATCATCATGCCACCCCCACTGCGATGCTTAATATTACATGGAGTCCCCCCTCCTTCCCACCCTCATCCATACCTTTGCATATAAGGAATATGACAGGAAACAAAACTGAGTTATAGCTTGGTAATATAGGCATTTTACATGGTTTGCATGTATGTGTAGAGATATTTAACGACTGGAGGAGGCATTTATATTCTACATTTACACAAAGGGTTTCAAGGGTTGATTCTTATGTTTTTGAGTTTCTTACAAGGAAAGAAAAAATGTTCAATAAAGTAAAGGGATTTATTCAATGCAAAAAAAACAACAGTGTACACAAGCCAGCAACTCACACAGACTAGTGTCTCAATTTTAACACTAACCACCAACAGTGATCCTCAACACAGCCGTTGGGACACCAAAAGGGGTCACAAAATACATACAATCACAAAAACATACTCTGCTACATAACATTAATTTTATTTAGACTTTTAAGATATTCAGAATTCATTATGAAAAACACATTTTCTTAGTTTTATTTCTTAGGATGTTAAAACGATTAAAATTCAGTCTGAGAAAGGCAAATTACTTGTAGGTTAATACTGTAAAAAAAAAAAAAAAACTAAACTAAATGAAACCTATGAGAACGGTCACAACACTGACTTAGAACATAAAGGATCAGACGTGGGGACTGTCCTAGAGGTGGATAGAGATATGGTGCATAGGGGTTGAGAATTTCACCCCAACTTACAAGTAAGACCAGAATGAAAACTACCAACCCAGTGTCACAAGGAGTCAGCACTTACCGCAAAGCAACTGCTACACCCTAAGGACCCACTGTGGGCAGCTGTGGGGGACACCTCATGGAACATCAAGGACTCATGGACAACAGACTAAATGAACACTGTAAACACTCATCAGCTGTCTGTGACAAAGCTGTCTGTGTGGTTGTCACCATGAGTGACCCTTTTTCACATAGTGAGAACACACTCTGCTCTCAAGTAGTCTTGTGATCCATTTTTAAAATAAAGATATTACTTTCACACAAATTCAATCACATTTTCTTGAAGTGTTTTGGATGTTTGATGTTTTAAAGACATCTCCATATGGCCAGGGATATAATTCTAGTGGAAAAATAATAAATCCCTTTAATTTAGTTCCTCTTCTTTTTGTGACATTGATCATATGATGAGGCTTGGGAACTGTAACCTCTGTTCAAGGATGGTTGGACTCAGACAAAGTTAGTGATTATCTGGTGAACATAGTGGGGCATTAACAGCTAAGGAACCAAATATTTTTCTGAGGAGTTGGTGGAGACCAAAAACAGAGCAACAAGGAGAGTAAACTCCAAATGAATAGTAATGTTGCTCTGTTGAATGTGTCAATAGGCACTGTTAACACATTTCTCATATCAGCTTAAAATGTGTTAATATGTTCACAGCTTGTGTTAACAGTTTGTTTCCGCTGCCCCCAAGTGGCCAAAAAACAAGTTATTGCCTCACAGAGACACGGTTTGTTTGTGCGTGCGTGTGAATGATATGCATGTATGCTAAATGACAGTGTACAGACACGGCTTCACGGTTTCACTACAAACAGACACCCACCCCCACACAGCAACATGTGTAAATATCTCAAAGCTGCTTGTTGGTTCTTTTGTCTTTTTGATCTGAGGTGTTGTTTTCCAGATGAAATAAGAGCAGGGAACATAAAAGAACAAATAACAGGCTTGTTGGCAACGGCGGGTGAACACAGCAAACAGGTAAACAGACTGTGTGTATTTCCAGCTTTTAATGCTATTTATCTTCAAACAACTCTTTGCCACCCTCGCTGAGTGTGTGTATGTGTGTGAGCACAATCCTGCATTCCTCTGGTTGTCACACATAAGATTTTTAGAATGATTGTGTGTAATCCACAGCATAATCTGCATTGTCAAAACCAGTAAGTCAACAGAAGTCTAAGCCTCTGAACTCTCATTTCTCATGGCATTTGAGATGAAAATCATTGGCCAGATTTATACCCACAGTGCAGTGGTATGTGTCTTAGCCTGTTGAATTAACAAGGTGCCTCTGATGGAGATTTTAACCACCAACACACGCTGCATTTCCATCCATCTGTCAAACAGATTTTTACGACATATACTAAACAAGCTTTGTTTATAATATGGCACAAACACACACACACACACACAAAAAAAAAAAACACAGAGATGAATGACAATAAATCTGTTTCCTTATAGGGAGAAAAAACATGAATCAGAAAGAGGAACAGTTTAGCTGTAGCTTTTGGGTTAATGTTGGATATGTTTCATGCTGAACAAAACAAAGAAATACATTGCAATGCAAATGTGTTAACTAATGGCATTACAGCTATAATGGTTTAGTGTGTGTTCAACAAACTTCTTTACTAATCCATAGTGAGACTGATCATAGTGAGTGTTGAAACTCATTTTGTGATCATGCTTATCAGATAAGTCAATAATGTGCTCTCTCTCAAAAGCAAAGGCAGGATTGTGATGTTATGTAAGCACCACAAAACCTCTTATGCTTCCTTCCAACATACAGATTCAAAAAGGCAGGAATTCTCTAGCCTGTCCATAGCTTGATGGATATAGCATTCCATATGTTACTATTTCCCTAGTTACCCAGCAATGGGTATAATCACCATCAAGTTATTTTTGTGACCTTATAGGTGTCTACTTCCTGGCAGAAATGATAACATGTTTGCCCACATGCCAATATTAATCTAATATTTCCATATATTATGCATCCAATAAGACTGTCCCGCCAGATGGTGCCATTCTTTGCTCTTCTTTCAAGAAATACTGTCCAGTTTTAATATAACTGTTCCTAGCAGCATCTGATTAATCTCTATGGTAGCTGCCATTATTGTTGAACGAACAGCGTCTTCTTGCTGCACCTAGCGCCCACCACCACAGCTGCCAGTACACTGGTTGGTCCAGAACCATTGTATTGGCTACAAACGATCTCACGAGTCTGCCTTGGTATTCACCTGCTCTTCTTCTTCTCTGGAATGTATGTTAAGTACACAGCACAGGCTGTGACCAGTGGCCAGCACAGTCTTTGGTCATACTTGATCTAACACATTGGTTTCACCTCATGCAAACATTGTATTTTCCCGGGCAGACAAAAAAAGTCTGTGGGATTGTGAAAATACCTTTAAAGATACTGCCTGCTGCTGTGATGATCAAAAAATAACTGATTGTTGATAATTGAGTGGTGAACCCGATGTGACCAATTCCCAGGGTAACATGGTGCTGAAGTCATCAATGGGGCTTTTCTGCCACAAGCTAAAGCAAAAGCATGCTTCTTGATATATGATATACTGCTTCATCCCAGTTGGGCAGTAGTTTCCCAAGGAATATGATACCACGCCTTGTTTTACTTATTCAGTGAGGCTTTCATTAAGTTAATTAATATTGCAGATAATTGGGAAGGCATTGACTACAACAATCAGCTTTTCTTCCATGTTGTTTGAAGTTGTTAACATAGCATAAAAACGACTCAATTACACAGGCAAATAAAATCATGATTATGATTGGGTTGTTGTTCCTATGTGTCTGACATGGATCAAGAAACATAGTTTTTAGGTTCAAAAGTTGGGTTTATGGGGTGCCTGGATAGCTTACCTAGTAGAGATGGTGCCCTTAAAAGAGGTAATTAAAACATAACTCTACTGACAAATGAGGCTAACAAAATGTTACCTCAACTAACAGACCTAACAGAATGAGACATGAGGGCAGCACATATACTGGCTGATCAAACCAATAAATACACACAGGGGAGGACAACATAGACAAAGACTAAAACTTAACACAAAGAAACACTGGTCCCCATCTGCTGTCAGAGCTCTTGGTATGGCACTTGACTTGGACCTCTGCATAAAACCAGCAGCCATGTGATTTAAAGACTAATTAAGATTAAAAGATTGATTAAGAAATGATAGACCTACCAGCAAATTGACAAAACAATGTAAACTTGATGTGTGCTAATCTAGAAAACATGACGGTCGATGGTCGGTTGGTTGTATTAAGTGTCTGAATTTGACACCAGAGACTGGTTCCTATTATGCGTCCCACCAACAGTCAACCAGTCAACGCTGTTTTTTTAAAGCATGACTAAGATTGGTCCCTACCCTTAACCAAGTAATTCAAATTAACTAAACATAACCAAACATTAACCATAGATGTGCCAGATCAGAAAATGTTTGTGTGTTTTGTTGTATCACTGTGTGGTTTAGAGGCTCTATCAGGGTGCATGTGTGTCAGGGTGTGTGTGTGTGTGTGTGTGTGTGTGTGTGTGTGTGTGTGGTGTGTGTGTGTGTGTGTGTGTGTGTGTGTGTATGTGTACAGCAGCCTGAAGCCAGCTTGTCCTTGAGACAACCTCAGATTGCAGATCTGACTCAAAGACAGCATTGTGTGTTTAATTTGTTTTTTACCTGCTGGAAGGTCATCAAGCCTGGAACAAGTTTGGTGGAAGGTTTGGGTGGGGATGGGGGTTGGTGAGCATTTCCACTGATTATAAAAGCCTAAACAGATTCTCTCCCAATGTCACATTTATCATTTTCAAACAGCTAATATGTTCGGATGAAACAGAAAAGGCTGGTGACCCTACCCTGCTGTTCCAGCGGTGGACAGAGCGGACGATGGAGGGAGCGAGGGGCAGACACGGGTCAACCTTCAGATTTGC